AGGGGAGAACAAGGCTCATCAGACAGTGACCGAGACAGCCAAGGGTGGACGCGCGCCTAGGCAGGCTCTGCGGATATTCAGCTTTTGTTTCTTTTCTTGGCTGTGCTGGGTCTTCTTTGCTGCACGTCTTTCTCTGGTCGCGGTGAGCCGGGGCTCCTCTCCAGCTGTGGTGCTCCGGCTTCTCATCGCGGGGTCTCTCCTGTTTCAGAGCTCGGGCCCTAGAGCACAGACCCAGGAGTTGGGGTGCACAGGCTTTGTTGCTCCATGGCATGGGGAATCTTCTTGCATCAAACACGTGTCCCCTGCATTGTCAGGTGGGCTCCTAACCACCGGACCACCAGGGAAACCTCCAGGAGGCAGTCTTAAGAAAGACCGCAGAGGAGGTACCTTTTCGGAGAGCTTGCGTTCTATCCCATGGCTGACTTGAAGGATGCTTGACTGAGTGACAATTCCAAGTTAGAGATCCTTGCCCCACGGCATCATGAGGACATACTGATGAGCCAGCTGAAGCCCTTCTGCATTCTGAGCCTTTCTGTGTAAAACCTGTTTTGTTCTTCCTGGGCGGTTTTAAGCTTTTTGTCCCCAGAGTTCTGGAATTCCATACTGATAACTCCTCGATGTGGGTCTAATTTCATCCATGGTGCCAACTCTCAGGACGCTCATATCCTTTATTTTTCTGAAATTAAAAGTTTTGGTTTCCTTCCTTCCACCTTCCACCTTCTCACTTCTCTTTCTTGAATCCCTGTTACTCAGAATCCTGGACTTCCTGGGCTGGTCTTCTAACTTCCTTTCCTCTCTTACTTCTCATAATTTGCTTTTTTTTTTTAAAAAAAAGGGGGGGGGGAACTTTTGTGAAGTTTATTCAACTTTCTCTTCCTGGCCCTCTATTGATTTTTTAAATTTTTTACTTAATTTTTTTTTTTTGCATGTGAGATCTTAGTTAGCTGACCAGTGCCCCCTCCATTGGAAACATGGAGCCTCATGCATGGAACCTCCAGGGAAATCCCTCTATTGATTTTTTAAATTCTGCTGTCTTATTTGTTATTTCCAAGGCACTGTTTTTTGGTTTGTTTGTTTTCTGAATGTTCTTTTAAAAAAAAACTTCCTGTTTTGTTTTTTTTTTACCACTGATGCAATGGCTTCACTTACCTCTCAGTTATCAAGGGTAGTTTTCTTAAAACAATTACTTTCTTCTCTCAAGATAGTCTTTGATTCCTATCAGAGATGTGGAAGAGATGGTCAGGTTAAGACATCAACAGAGGACATGCTGTTCTTATTTTTTATTTTATATTGTTGCTATGATTTATCTTTGTTATTGTTATTTTTATTCTTTGCCACACTGCACAGTTGCAGAATCTTAGTTCAATCCCCACCAGGGACTGAAGACGGACCACAGCAGTGAAAGCACCAAGTCCTAACCACTGGGCCACCAGGGAGTTCCCACCTGCTGTTGTTTTATTTATTTACTTTTCTGCATGTTAGAGGCTCTCCTCAGATGTTTGGGGATCTTTGGCTGGCTGCTCATGATTAGAAGAAAAAGGAAAATAAGTCTACGGATGGTGTATGTTGAATTAGCTTCACTGTGACTTGAACTTGGTGGCTGTTCGGTAACTTCCTTGTCTGTCAATATCCTCACCTATTTGTTAGATATTTGTTTATTTATTTTTGGCTGTGTCGGGCCTCAGCTGCAGCCCGTGAGATCTTCTGTTGTGGCACGCAGGCTCAAGGGCAGCTTTCTTCAGACAGTTACTTTCTCTTCTCATCATAGTCTCTGATTCCTATGCATTGTTGTTATTTTTTAATTTCTGTAGCTCTGATCAGCTTGAAGAACCTCAGGTTGTGGCAACCAGAGATCCAACCATCATCTCCTGCATTGGAAGGCAAATTCTTAACCACTAGACCACCAGGGACGTCCCTGTCAGTATCTTTAGGATTTTCTTCTTGGACTGGTCACAGTCCCCAAGGGCCCTCCAGCTCTCGCCTGGAGGGTAGGGGTCTGGCTGCACATTTCTGGGAGCCCAGATTGGGGGAGCATGGGCAGAGTCTCTGCATTCAGCAGTCAGTACCCACTGTTCTGGGACAGTCCTCACATTCACCCCTGTCCCTTGCTTGCCTAGCCCTTACCAAAGCTAAGAATTTGCCAGAATCAGGGAGAGCTAGAGAAAGAAAAGATATCTAAAGATCTGTTGCCTTCAAAGACACCTTCAAATAGTTCTATCTCAGTCTTTTTAACCCTTAGATCTACAAGTGGCTAGCGCTGCCAGTTCCTAAGCATTTGAGAATTCTGTTGTATGAATAAGGGCTGGTTCTCAGCTCTCAGCTGTCTGCAGTCTGCTAAATCAGGTAATACTGGGCATCCTGCTCCCTAGCTGGAAGAGATTCTGTTGCTAGGGCCCCCTTTCCTGTTTTCTCTGTCCTGTGGTTTATGTCTTTAGAAGACTCCTCTTCTGTGGGTTGATGGGCTTCTGGGGGCAGCGTGTCCTCTGTTTATGTCTTAACCTGAAAATCTCTTCCACATCTTTGAGGACACAGCATTGTATGGACTTACCATCATTAACTAATCACCTCTAGTTGGATATGCACCTCATTTCCATCTTTTCTGTGTCAAAAGCAAGGGGCCTGCACATGTCCTAAGAGCTATGTCTTTGCTCATCTGATTCTTTTCTCAGGACAAGCTCACTTGGGAGATGATGATGTGAGTCCACCTAGATCTTTCTCAGTCTGAGATGTGGAGTTAGTGAGCCTGTGTGTGTCCGGGGTGTGTGTGTGTGTGTGTGTGTGTATGTGTCCAGAGCTCCTCAGAGGCTGGCAGGGGAGGAAAGGGGTGTAGATACAGGTGAGTTCAGAATCAGATTCTCTCTAACCGAGTCTGGCACCACCACCCAGAAACCAGATAATCCCAATCTCCAGTCCTTCTGTCACTAACCATCTGCCACTCAACCTTTGAGACTTTGTCTGAAAAGTGAAAATGAAAGTCACTCAGTTATGTCCGACTCTTTGCGACCCCATGGACTGTAGCCTACCAGGTTCCTCTGTCCATGGAATTTTCCAGGCCAGAATACTGGAGGGGGTAGCCCTTCCTTTCTCCTAAGGATGTTCCCAACCCAAGGATCCAGCATGTATAAATTGAGGATAATAATAGCACCTATTTACCAGAGCATTCAGTTCAGTTCAGTAGCTCTGTCATGTCTGACTCGCACACCAAGCCTCCCTGTCCATCACCAACTCCCGGAGTTTACTCAAACTCATGTCCATTGAGTCGGTGATGCCATCCAACCATCTCATCCTCTGTCATCCCCTTCTCCTCCGGCCTTCAGTCTTTCCCAGCATCAGGGTTTTTCAAATAAGTCAGTTCTTCGCATCAAGTGGCCAAAGTATTGGAGTTTCAGCTTCAACATCAGTCCTTTCAATGAATATTCAGGGCTGATCTCCTTTAGGATGGACTGGTTGGATCTCCTTGCTGTCCAAGGGACTCTCAAGAGTCTTCTCCAACACCACAGTTCAAAAGCATCCATTCTTTGGCCCTCAGCTTTCCTTATAGTCCAACTCTCACATCCATACATGACTACTGGAAAAAACCATAAACTTGACTAGACAGACCTTTGTTGGCAAAATGATATCTCTGCTTTTTAATATGCCGTCTCGATTGGTCATAACTTTTCTTCCAAGGAGTAAGAGTCTTTTAATTTCATGGCTGCAGTCACCATCTGCAGTGATTTTTGAGCCCAAGAATACAAATTCTGTCACTGTTTCAGCCACTCAATGTCAGGTCTGCCTCAGTCTCTTGTGCAGGTCATTGCTCCTTTTCCTTGGTCCCGGTGGGTACAAGGTTTTGTTGGTGCCCTCTGAGTTTCTTTGGTGGGTCTGAGGCTTGATTCTAAATGCAATTGGACCCCTCCTATCTTCTTGTTGGGGCTTCTCCTTTGCCCTTGGGCGTGGAGAACTTTATTTTTGGTGGGATGCAACATTCTCCTGTTGATGGTTGTTCAGCAGCTAGTTGAGATTTTGGTGTTCTTACAGGAGAAGATG